GACCACTGCAGAAGAAAAGGTAGAAAAGAGAGGTAGTGATTGTATTTGGGGGCAGATACAGTGTATTTAGAAGTTTAGAGGAGGGAATTGTGGTTTTAATGAGGCCTGGTTAGGCAAAGTTAGTGAAACTTCCACCTGTTATTTAGTCAGTCAATATTAGACCTGCTTTGCCTGTATTAGGACATACAGGATTTAGGGGGTTTTTGCTGGTTCTAAGAAAAGTATATGGGACTTGGCTGGGGTAGAGTTAATTTTCTTCATAGCAGCCAGTATGGTGCTATGCTTTTGATTTTTGACCAAAACAGTGTTGATGACAGACCCATGTTTTCTCTGCTGCTGAACAGTGTTTGTGTGGTGTCAAGGTCGCCTCTGTTTCTCACTCTGCCCATCCCCCATTGAGTAGGTTGGGGTGTGCAGGAGGCTGGGAGGGGGGACAGCCCAGACAGCAGACCCCAGCTGACCAGAGGGATATCCCATGCTGTACGGTGTTATGGTCAGCAATGAGAAGGGAGGGGAGGGAGGGGGTGGGTAGGTGGTCATTGCTCTGGGACTGGCAGGGCATTGGTCTGCCTGTGGGACGTGGTGAGTGAGTGTTTTGCGTCACTTACTTTTGTTTTGTTTTTTCACTTTTGCTCTTCCTATTCTCTCCCCCATCCTGCTGGGAGGGGATTGAGGGAGCAGTTATGTGGGGCTTAGCTGCCAGTCAGAGTCAGCCCACCACTTGGAGACACTAAATATGTGCAAGGTTTGTGTTGTAAGCTTCTGGCTGTTGGATCTAGGCAGGATGTGAGCTCTTTGCTATATTTGCTTACTGCTGTGGGTGGTTTTTTGAGTGAATATCTGATGTGGAGGATTTAAGGATCAGTTCTAATTAAACATTTCTTTCAAATAAATGTCAGTGACAATAGCTGGTAGTGTAGAAATCAATTTGCAGGTTATGGAACAAATTAATTACATCTTTATTTTGCACCAAATGTCGAGAATAGAGATTGGACCCTGATGGAAGGTGGCTTTGCAAAAGCAATGCAAATACTTGAAGTAATTATCTGCTTGTGTGTACACTTAATCATGCTGAAAGTTAGGCTTCTTAGTTTGTCTTTTCATTCCTGAATGAAGTCAGACTCTCTAAGTGATTTGTTCAGGAGTCTTAGAAGTGTTCAGCAGTGTGCATGTGTTAGTTGCCTCCTCTTCAGCGAAGTTATGGGGTTTTATTAACTTCATTTCAGTGAAGAGATGTGTCTACGTAATGTATGCCTGTGTATGTGCTTGAAAAGCTGGGCAATAGTGTTTGGCTTTAGTGCTTTCAGTAGTTGACAGCTGTTGCTGTTTATTACTTACTCTTAAATGCAGTAGCAGGTTAATCAAATACCTGACGAGTTTCTTGTCAGTGGTAATGTGCTTTGTAGAATATGTATACTTGCTTTCCTAAAGTATTTCTAGTATTTGACTGTCAGAACACGTCAGAGATTTTCCTCACTAACTTATCTTCTGTTTATAACTAGACTAGAGTTAATGCTCCAGTAAAATGTCTAATGATTTCGATTGCATCAAAAGAGGAAATCAAGAGGGACTGCAGTCAGACATCAAAGTCCTCACATTGTAGTATTCCAATAATAAACACTTCTTTGCTCTGGCTTCCTTTTCTTTCTTAAACAGATGTTAATTTTCAAATGTTCCATAGGTCAGGATGTATTGTTAGATTTTCCTGCAGCCTTCCGGGTTGAGAAGGTGATGGCTTACTTGAAAGGTAAGATTTGCAGCAAAGGGCTAGCTAGGTATAGGTTGGCATACACCCTTAATCTGCTATGAAGAGGAATCCAGTTTATTTTAATTGCAAATGACTTGAAGTTTGAATATTTTCCCTTTTACGCATGAGAAAATACACAGTATTCCTCTAGCAGGTGTAGAGTATTTTGAGTATTCACAAGATCTGGGCATGTTGGTTTTATCTTTTTATTATTATTTTTGAGGGATGACTGTTAAAAGGGGTGAATGTCTCCTAAAATGGTCTTCAGAAATGCATTTTTATTTTTTCTAATTACCTAGATAGAACAAAGATAGATGTTTCTTTTACTGGAACTGAAATTCCTTTGTACCCATTCAAGAGCTACCTGAAAAATTAGTCTCTCTCTTGGTTATTACATATATTATACGCCTGTGTAATACGTACAAAGTAGCCTTCTCTGAATGCATTAGTCAGGTGAAGCTGGGTCATGTCTTTAACCAAGCATGTCTCAAAACAGATTGGTCTGTAGAAGCAGTGAAAATCAAAATCTGCCAGACAGTAGATGTGAAAACGGTTCTATAAGAAAAATGGAGGGTTTTTCTGTTTATAATTTGCTAGATAATCATAAATTTTATTTGCTCTTACTGCTGTCAAAACCAAAAATCAGTTTTGCATTTCAGGGTTGCTTGTTGTCATAGAACCTAAACATGAGAAAAAAATTTTGACCGTGTTCTGAACTTACCATCATTCTTGTATTCCAGAATAATGGAGGCATTTCTCTGTGGTCTTACAGGTCCATAGAGGAGGGAAGAGACTGAAAGTATTATTAAAGAGTTATTTAAGCAAGATCCAAGCTGAGTGTAAATAGGTTGGGGTAAGACCATGCAGTTCCTTGCCAAAGGAAACTGATTTGGGTCTTGCCAGAGAATGCTGCTCTGGAATCTGAATTTGGTTTCGTGTTTTAGTCTGTCTGGCGTTGTGCAGTATAGTGTCATGAAATATAAGCTTTTCTTAGAGATAATAACTCGATAGCTGTTAGACTTAGTAAATTAATACATGTGTGTATATATATGTTTTGAATATATATTAGAAAGTAACACAGAATCTCTGGGTCATTAAAGCCCATGCGTAATTTGACCATGTAGCTTTTCTTGTTTGAGACTCAGCTGCAGCTTCTGTACTGTGGTTACACTCATCTTCAGGTAGATTAAATTACAATAAGCTGCATTGGAAAGAAAATAACAGATCTTTTTAATCCCCTGAAGGTGAAAATGGATCAATTCATGTAATAAGATACCTGTGGTGAGAGCAGCCTAATTTTACCTTGAAGGTTCAAATAATTTTGGACATTCCAGCCTGTCTATCATGAATGTTGCAATGAAGCTTTTCCTTTTTGTCATCTTCCATCGTTTTCTGTTGTTTACATTTCCCCCCAGCTTCTTCTAGTTATGCTGGTAAAAGACTTTTAATTGGTTCTCACTGGAAATGAAGGTGCTTTATATGTTTACGCTCTGTCTAAGGTTACTGAAGCTGAATCACAGCTTTGCAGAAATCTGTATAAGGACCTAGTTGAGGAGGGACAAGTGCTGGCTGGCTGTACAAGGAGGCTCTAAGGGCTTCAAATTATCAGAATAAATATACAGTTAGTTCTCCTAGTATTGACTAGCTTTCCTATTAGTCATTGAGAACTTGGGAAAGCTTGTGGATTTTTTAAAATTTTGTGTTCATTTTTACAAGACTAGTTATTTTTTATGTTGCGAAGCTTCTTGTAAGAGTATGCTGGAAGAAAAAATTTGCATAAACTTTTTTAAAGTGTACCTAATTTCTCATATAAGAATTTCCTGGTCTTGAAAAAGGATGTGGGTAAAGTTTTTAGTTTTGACTGAAAAAGTCAGGTATCAACAAATACTTTATAAAATGTGCCAATATTAAATTAAGCTTATATAGCATCAGTCTTGCTGACTTCCACCCCCTTCAAGAGATTCAGAAATTCTATTAGTTGTTCTTTATACAATGATGATGTTCCTAAATAAAATTATAACTTTTAAATGGTTTTCATATCTAAAGAATCCATAAACTTGTTACAGTAACTCAGTTACTGACTTTGATCTTCCTGAGATTTCTGCGTCTATTCACATTATCACAAAGAAGAGATTTACTTACCTGCAACAATGGCAGGCAATTTTTCTTTCTTTCTAATCAGCAAATTTACTTTCAACTGAAAGGATAGGAACTGCAGAATCATGTACAGGTGTCAGAAGCTGACGTTCACATAGTCTCCTTTGTCCTCTCTCCTCACTGTCTGCTGGTATCTCCATTTAATTGTACGACTTTATGTGAATATCCAAGAGGATGCAGCGTTTCTGTTGTAGAATACTGGTGATAAATGCATTTGGAATTCATAAAATGAAGCTTTTGGGTCAACAGAAAGAGTTGAAATTTGTGCTAAAATGCAATTTATAATAAACCAGGTACTTTCATTATCTTGTCTATATGCTTATATTTTGTATTTTACCTCTTTGGATTTAGGAACAGCTTTAAGGAGATGTGTTGTAGAGGTTCTTCAAGTGATTCCAACTGCAAAAATTCAAAGTAGTATTAGTGATTGTAGAGAGACTACGTAAAGGACACAGTGTATTAAGATGGTTCTCATCTTTTGGGGGAATATGATAGCCCTGTGCTCCTCAGTCTGGTAGTACTCTTCATTAAAATCAAAATACTTAAAAACAGTATTTGTCATCAACAGTCATAGCTGTGAGGCAGATTAAAGTTGTAAAGTTGCTTGCAGCAGATTCTTATGTTGGAGGTAAGATGCAGGAGGAAGGAAACAACCATCTTTGACATGAAAACTATGACAGATCAAAATTCCTATTAGCTTTTACCCTGCTGCAGTTCACCTGTATGTGTATGCTGTTAACTCGTTTCCCCTCTGCCCTCCCCGGCTGTCTTTCTGTAGATCCGAAAATTACTACTTCAGAGAGGAACTCCTTGACTAAAACAGGGAGAGTTCTGTCACAACTGTGATTAAGTCCATTATGAAATACAACTCACCATAGCCCATATTTTGAGATAGATTGTCTCTGCCTGTCTTTTCCAGTAGGTTTCAAATGGGTGTCAGACAATGATTTTGGATTATTATGTTCTGTCTGTGCTTTGTGTTGGCTAATAATAAGCTCGTAGGCACATCTGAAAGAACTTGCTATTGCTTCAGAGAATTGGAAAGGGATGCTATTGCTGTCCTGTCAGATTTAAATAATACAGCTTCAAATTTGTGATGATCAAGGTAGTCATTGCTGAGGTCCAAAATGAGAAGCTGACGTTAGTGATGAATATGGTGCATGATACTTTAAGGTTTAAGCATTTTATGTTTTCTGAGCAGATTGTGCTCTTGAATGGCTTCAGTACAGGTAAGTACTGTAAAAAAAGATGGTTTTTTTTTTTTGTAGCTCTTTATCCCAAAGACTAAGTGAAAAGTTCTAGGTGTAACTATTCAGGTTGTGAAAACTTTTCAGATTTTGAAAGCAGTTTGTCCATTGAAGTGTGCGTTGTCACTGAAGGGGTTTCTTTTGCCTTTTGTTGTCTGTCCCAACGATGTTCCTTCCGTTTCCTGTGCTGTCTTTGAAATTTGTTGACTTGCTTGGTGAATCAGGTATGGAGGCTGACCATTAGATTTCAGACAGACCACTTTCTCATTTATCTCACTACAGAAACGCTGCTGTGGGCTTGAGAGAGGGATCAGCGATGTGCTTCGATGGGGTGAAAAAATACATACTTTGTCTTCAGTAGCAGTTCAGGCTTTGTTGCTCTGCATTCTTGGGTTTAGTCCTCAAATGGCTAAAGATGAAGACATGGGGGAGAATGTACCTTCTCCAGTTAAGTCGTTTTGTGTGAGGTTAGAATGAGATGCTGTGACGTTGATTTGAAAGGTCAGTATAACTGAAATGAATCTCTCGAAGGAAAAATAATTGAAGTGGTGTACAAAAAGTAGTGGTTAGAAAGAGGTGCTTGTGCTGGGAAAGTAATTAAAGACTTGGGATGTCATTTTATCTTCAGGTTTTTTTCCTGCTTTTTTTCCCCCAGTGTTTCTCTCTGCCGCTTTAAGTACCTCTGAGAAAAGATACCTGAATTTATGTATATACAAAACATGAGACTCTTTCTTGGTATTGAGATAACTGCTCAAAGTGAGCATGCAGGTATATTCTCTGCTCATGACGTGCTGTGTAAATGTTAAAAGTAGTAGGCTCTTTGCTAATTGTGCTATGCAACATGGAAATCAGTCCCACACGTAAAATTTGTACCAGCAGGCTTCTCAGTTTGCTTTGCACAAGCCTACAGGTGAACTAAACAGACTTTCAAAGTTGTTTTGTTTTGTTTTGTTTTTCCAGGTTACACTCTCACTTTAGTCCATCTCTGGTTACACATCTGTTGACACCTGTTTCTTCTTAATAGCGGAACTGAAACTTCTATGTTTTACAGGTCTCCAAACTGTATTTTTATTATCTTGGCATTTAAATTTGCCCTCAATAACTTCCCTTGATGCCAGCAAGCACAGAATATTTTCCAGTAAGTTTGTCATGTGTGATTTCTGAAAACATACCATAAAAATAGTCTGCTGCATATTGGAAAGAATAGCTGTCAGGGAAACCCTTGTTTGGGAAAACTAGGCACTTGTTTATGTATAAACAAAACAATAGTCTTATTTCTCAAGGCTTTTATATTGCTACCACCAACACAGTATTTGAGTGCCATCCATGCAAAAGTAATAGCAAACTCTAGCAGAGTTCAGGAAGTCAGTTTTTCTATCTTTCAGCACCCAAGTAGAGCTGGTTGAACTTTCTCCTCTGAAATAATTCTTCTAATAGAAAACAGGCTACCTGTAAATTCAGAATTTACTGTTTGCTAAAGTGAAAGCTTTCTTTAACCTAGATTGTGCCTTCTAGCTGAGAAGCCCTGAAGTTAGGCATTTCATGTCTTCCTGACAGACTGTCAGATATATTGCCTTGAAGCTAAGACTTCCAGACTTCTCAGGAGCTGTAATTGTTGTTTATCTTGGCTTTCCGTTACATTCCAGGTTGCCAGCTCCCCTTCTGATGGGGCTGCTATGGCTGAAAGGGCTTAAACCAGCATTTTATTTCTGTTGTCTCTACATGAAGTTTCAGAAATTGCATTCTTTATGAAATTTTGAAGTCTTTTTGTTTGTGTCTTTCATAAAAGAAGAATTTGGAATTTCCTGAGAACAGAAATTCAGGGCTTTGGGTAGCTCTAGTGATGTTTCTCCTTCAGAAGGTTCCACTTTAATTGTTAGGCTTATTTCAGTTTGGTTACCTTATATATCTTTTGTTTTGCTTTTAAGTAGAGGGTGCTAGGTGAGCGTTTAAGGAATACTCTTAAGTCTGAATATAAAATGAAAAGGCTTTTAGTAAGAGAAGTGTAGGCTGGGCAGTGTTACATTCATTATCCCATGGAAGCTCTGCTATTGTGATTCTTCATAAATATAAATTGAGTCTGAGTCAGGACCGAAACTTTGACCTAACACTGACCTGTAATACTGAATATGAGTCTGTGTGGATCTGAGGATAGGCCTGGGGGGCTTGTTGTTGCCAAAATAAATAAATAAATATTTTATTTTTTGGTGATCAGGCCATTCCAACCCTCAGTTATCTTCACAGGCGATTACAGAGATTTATGATGCTTTTTTAAAAGACTTACAAAGCTGATTTCCATTTGCCATGGCTCTGTGGTCTGCAAAGTAATCTGTAATAGCTTGAGACTTGCTGGGTTAGGTGAGGGAATGCATTGGCGGGCGCAGTCTACGTTATGCTGTACAGCTTCTGTAAACAAGTGGCCTTAACCAAATAAGTTAAACACATCATTTTTGTTTTTATTAGCATGTGTGTATCTTGAAGCCTCGGGGTTGGAACTCTGCAAGTGCTACTTTTCTTTTCATTTGTTTTGAATCTGAGAGATTTTCGATGATTTTTCACTCTTCCCCACTCTTTTGTGGCCTGTGCCAGGTATAGCGGAACTGCTGCTGTCCTATTCAGAGTTAACTGAAGAATTGGAGAGAGAATGAATATTTTTGTAGTGGGAATGGATTTTTGATGACTCTTATGTGTAAAACAAAATATTCAAAGTAAAAAGATTACCTGGTCTTATGTGAGTCTTTTGTACTCAGTTTTATGAGGGAAGTGCTTTTTTTTTAAACTTCACTCTTCATCAACATTTTGAAGTAATGTCTATAAATGTAAAATGGCATCTGCAATTTAACTGCATTTTTTTCACTGTTAGTGCTGGGTGGCTTTAATTTGCGCTTGGGAAACAGAAAATATTGAGGTTTGTTTGGGTGGTGTCTTTTTGTTTCGTGGTTTGTGGGTGGTTTTTTTTTTTAATTTGCTTGTTTTAAATGGAGCTAATGTGCCAATTGCCTGGAAGCTGAGTAGAGCATTGTAAGAGGTAAATAAATGACTGCTCCATGAAGGCTGGCTGTTTTGTGTTTAAGTGGAATGTTTTTGAAGTTTCATACAAGTTCTTAAAGCAGCATCAATTGTGTACGGATCGCTAATGTACTTGGCACTGATCTTTGCCAAATACCTTCAGGTGTGTCTGGTCCCATTACCATCTTCTCGTCCTGATTTTTTACATACTTCATAAATTGTAGTGGTCATTGCTGCAGTGCCTTTTTGGATCAGAGATGGAGAAAATGTTGTCTTGCCTGCCCTTTAAAAAACATTTTTACAGCTAATCTTGTGAGTTATAAAGTCTCTTGAGTAACTTATAGATTTTAAATATCCAGAAATGTAAATTTTGAGTGTCTTGAAAAATTTGAAATCAGTGTGTTCTGTAGAAGTGTACTTTTAATACTTCTGCAACAGCGCTTATTCTGTAATACTGAGTACTGAGTGCTTCAACAAAATATTTGAATAGACATCAACTTCAGAATGCTATGGTATTGTTAGAGCTAATGTTTGTGTGTTTTCTCTCTATATAGTTTGCTCATCTAGCTATGGCTTTATTATAGCATAAACAGATGATCCCATTAGGTTTTTCACAGCTGGGATGATAATTTTTGAGCTACTGAATGACATTATTTCTTTGTCTATACAGGAATTCCCATAATTTTCAGCAATCCTTATAAACACTTTTTTGCAAAGACCCTATTCCGTTGTAAGTACAGCTTTGTGAAGTTTCGAGTCATGAATCTTGGGGCCAAACTGTTGTTAGGGAATAATGTAAATTAAAGTTTTAAGGAACTTCGGTAGGATGTTTCCACCCAGCTTCTCTTCCCTGTCCCTTCCTTCCCTGGGGGGTATGTGTATGAACCCTGCCTTCTGTTGCACTCTGCATGCCAGCATCTATAGGAGACTGGGTCCTAGTATATTGTTTACACTGTTTTGTATGCAGATCTGAGCTGGGTGTTCCTACAGTAAGTAGGAAGAAGCTGTGAGAGTTTCTGCTTTGCTTAGCACCCAGTGTATCATTGAGGATTACGTGTTTGTATGTCTGCTAATACATCATGTGGCTTTGTCCCTCTCTTGGAGTAGAGACAAGAATAAGATGGCTGCTCACCATCTAAGAAAATACTTTGCTATCTTGTCTGCACCCTCTGTGTGAACGGATCTGAGGAAGTCCATGAAGGTCACAAATCCAGATCTTTATAAACCTGAAAGTGATTACATGTAACAGTAAGATGAGGTGGGGAAGGGGGCTGCTGAAGAAGAGAGGATGTCACAGTTTGATAATGGGGAAGTGCAGCTTGAGGGGCAAGGTGAAAGCGGGGAGTGGAAGTTAAAGTAGGTTGGGTAACACTACAGCACAGAGCCATCATTAGGAGATGGGCTATTTAATAAGTGAGAGTTTAAAGTGATTAATGGTTAACTAAACAGGAAGGCCTGTGTGAGCTGGAAATTGGGTAAGGGGCACAGGAAGAAGAGAGAGAAAGCGAGTAAGTGCTGCGGGAGGTGGTGGGAGAGAAATGGCCTAATGAACGTGGATTTTGGACAACTTTATTCTTTAAGCAGAAAGAGGATCTTATTCTTAGCTCTGTGCTTTGCCATATGTAGGTGGAAGGTCTGAGCTTTCCACGTTAATATAGTAACAAGTTTCTATTATAAACTTTACTCTCATTTCCCTTTATGCTTGTCTAGCAAAACTAGTTTTTACCTGAAGATTTCTAGGTCAGCTTTGACAAAAATGCTTTTGTGCTGTGTTTGTGTAAATAACATGACAGTTGTAAACATGCTTTTGATCTTTGAATCAACATAGATTTAAAATTTTGTCTTGCAAGCTATTCATAGCTTAAAGTGCTGTTGTAGTGTGATTGCTGTCAGATAAAAATAATTCCCTGTCTTGTAAGACTTTTTTTTTTTTCTCTCGTGTGGCTCAGCAACTTTATGAAATAAGTATTTCATTGAGTTAGGCTGTTTGTAAAATTATAGAAGACTTGTAGGAAGATGGCAAAAGTAAAAATACTTGGTGTTGTATTTCTGAAAAAAAAAGAAGCACTGTTTAAGAGCATTAAATCTTGTTCTGTAACCTGTAATGAGCAGTTCAGGGAATGGGTGGGCACAGAATGACAGCTCCTCCAGCATATGCTGACTTCAACTGGGTAGGAGTTTCACAGACCCTGTGTGGTTTGCAGATCCATTGCTGTCAAAATTTATTATCAATATCTATAAATTTAAGTAATATTTTAAAGGATTTTTTAAAAAAACTTCTGCTTTCCTATAAAAACAGTTGAATAGAAATGTGGAAAAGAAGTTGACCTTTGACTTTTCTGACCTGTGAGCTGGCTTCATTTACCACCTTTTGGTCCTTGTCTGTGGAAAAAGAAAAAATAATTGTTTCCTGTGCAAATAGTACATTATTCTATATTGGTATTCTCCCTCTCCATACATTATTATTCTTCTCTCTATGCTTTTCACTCCTTTCTTCACTGTCCTTCTATAGCCTCTTTAACAGACAGTAGCTCCATAATGCTGAGCGTTATTGTTTCTCTTTTGTGTAACCATTTTCTAGTTACGCTTTATGCTGTTTAAAGTAGGTGTCAAGAAGCTGTTTGCAGTATCGAAGAGAAATGTCTACTTCTACTCATTTTCAATTACACCAGGAAGTTTGAGTTAATTTAAAAGAAGATTTAGTTAGACTGTTGTGTGCTAAACTGACCTTCAGTGAAGGTTCCCTCAGTTGTCTGAGGTCTTGGCAGGAAGTGCCAAAACCAATCAATCCATCTGCCTGAACTATCTGGAAAGATCAGTTTAATGGATTGAAAAATGTTCAAGATGACACTGACTGTTCTAAAATACCTCCTTCCTTACTGTGTTAATAGCAGTTTAATCTCTGTGTATTGAAATATGATGTTCCTTCTCTAGTGGATCACCTGCAAACTCTGAGCCAGGCATGGGGCGGGGAGAAAGAAGAAGAAAAAAAAATGGTGACACAGTATACATTCTCAAGATTTTAGTGTCATCTAACCTACTAGAGCAAGCAGTTCCATTTATGAAGAATATAATCTTTTTGAGCTGCCTTTCAGGATAACTTGATTAAAAACTATCCTTGGAGGTTTTTAAGACTTGTCTGAATAGCAACCTGAGCAATTTGGCCTGAATTCCTAGCTGAACCTGTTTTGTTGGAGGTTGGACTAGAGATCTCCTGTGGTCCCTTCCAACATGAATTATCCTGTGATCCTGTATTTCTCTGAAACCCCCAGCCTGTGGCATGTATGTTGAATAATTGCTAGAGCAGAGTTGTTTACATCTAGTAATTGCTGCCAGGAGTGGTGTACTTAAGGTCACTTCATTTTAAAATACTCACTTTAAAAATAAATTCAGTTTTCATTACTAAACAAAGGGGGGAAAAAAATAGCACTTTAATTGTTTGCATGATAATATAACACTTTTTATGAATAGAAAGAAGTACATATTTATTGTGCCATATCTGTAAGTTTGTGCAATAGATTTTTAGTTTGCCTACGTGTTGTGTGATTTCAGAAGTTACTAGCTAGAGAGACTATTTGATTGGAAATAGTAGAATGTAGGAGTCATCCATGAGTTTTTTTGGTTTGGTTTGTTTTTTCCATCAAGCAAATACTGCACCATGTCTTGCATGTTTTTTGGCAAAGCAGCGTGTGGTGCCAACCAAAAATCTTAATTTACAGAATGGCAGGCTTATGAGAGTAGCTAATACTCGCAAAGTATCAGCTTTGAGGTGAAGGCTGATTAGATAACTTCTCAAATTCCTTTCCAACCTTATATTTGTGGCCTTTTAAATAAATACCTGTGACATATTGCAGTAATTACTTTCTAGACATTCAGAGCTTTTGTAGATTTTTCAGAAGTATTGGTCATCTATATAATACAGCTCTTGAAAATAGCCAGGTGCTAAACGGAAATAAATGTTATCGTGCTCCTGGAAATCTCTATTTAATGGCATGCAGTAGCTGAGAGACTGGTTTGTAAGTTTAGTGGACTTCAGATGTGTGCCGCTTATGTCTCTATGCATTGGCAGTTTTTATCTGTGAACAGAATAAAATTTAATTGCTCTTGACTTAAGCTAGTCTTTGTTATTGGTTAAGATAAATTTTATGAAAGGGAGTGTGGTTTTTTTTTTTTTTCTCTTTCTTTCTCTTATTTGCAGCACTTGTCTCTAAAGTATCTCAAAGCAGGTATTTTCAGAGATACATCACTAGAGGAGTTTTGGAAGGTCTTTCTGGATCATACCAAGTGTTTCTGCAGTCATTTTTCAAAAGCCAGAAGATTTCTCAGAAAGTTTTTGTTTTGTCTTGCATATTTTTTAATATTTCAGTGTCTGAGAACTGTGTTGGTTACTCTGTAGGTAAAATAGAGTCCTTTTTATAAGATTTTTTTTTTTTTGGTCAGAATTGTCGAGCAATGGAGTACAAAAATCAGTACATATATTTCTAGATAATGTGTAAATGTATTGGTTCAAATACTCCGTTCTGCTATTTAAGCAGACAGCTGTCAATGCAGAAGTATAGATGAAAAAGCATGGTAGATGTGATTTGGTTCATAAAATAAATGTGGTTTGCAGTTTTGCAATCTGTATAAGAACAGTGTGCATCAAGCTTTAAAAATACGTGTTTTAAAAGGATTTAAATGACAAAATAGTAGCTGTTCCAAGAAAAAAAAACCTGTTCTGTGGTTTGTGCTCATTGCCACATTTGTGTTTCCTGTATATCCATCTTTAATGTAGTATCGATTTTCAGGTTATTAGTGCCATGTCGTTCATGGATGTACATGAACAGTCGTGTCAATATTTCTCAGGAAACTCAGATAAGCCTGTGTGATGTCGTTAATGGCAAATGCTTGATGTCTTAAAAACTTAAGTTTATTTTGACTATGTATAAACCACACTGTATCTCACAGTTCTTGATGTCTTGCTGTTTCATTTTGTATCACTTTCCTGAGGTTTCCTTGTTCTCCAAAGAGCAGAGACTAAGTGTCAAAACTAATAGGAGATGAGTCTGTTTCTCTTTCATATTTTCAGTACAGGAATGGTAGTTGACTAGTGATGCTACTTCAGAAGCATATGAAGGCAGGAGAACTGCTTAGAGAACACACTAAGTCCCTTTTTCTATTTGCTTTTGGGTGCAGATGGAGACATCTGACTGTCTTTCATTCTTCACAGGGTTATACATCGTTCTGGAATGATTGCATCTCCTCAGGATTGCGTGGATGTATGTTGATTGAATTGGCATTGCGAGGGCGTCTTCAGCTAGAGGCTTGTGGAATGAGGCGCAAAAGTCTATTAACAAGAAAGGTAAGTGGAAGAAAATGATCACAATTACTTTTGTGTCATGCTCCAGGCAGTACACTAGCTATAAATTACAGCTGGTTAGAAGAAAAAGTATTTTTCTTTCTTTATATGGAGCTAGGGATTTTGAGTAGCCACCGAAGTTAGATGCACAGAGTTACAGTGTTCAAATGGCGAGCTGAAATGCCTTGGGAAACCTTCTGTACTTGTTCTTTGCTCCTGTTTGTTCTTGTGACGTGTTCCTCCTGCTGTTGGGAACCTTGTACAAACAGTTGGCAGTGGCTCGGTTACTATGAGAGGCAGTAGCGCCAGCTGTAATCTACTGGAGGAACTGGCTTTTTCAGTGTTGGTGAGATGTGGGCTAAGGCTGAAAGGAATGGCTAACTGACAGCCTGCCAGATGTATCCTAAAAGCCACCAGTTTAATTCTGGTGTACACCGTGTTTCAGTTTGTGCTTGCGGTGCATGGGAAGGAAACGATCCTTGTACCTTGGGCCACTGAGAACACATAGCTGTGTCTAGTTTAAGCGTGCGACCGGTGTGTTAAATTTGCTATACTCACTGACCTTTAAGATGGGCAACTTTTTAAGGTCTTTTATTGAAGTGGGCTGAAGATTTGAGGCCTTAAGTTATTACTTTTGTTGCTGGACTTTTCTTTCGTACAACATGTGCAAAGTCATGCTCTTTGAAGAATTTCAGGAAAATGGAGCATTAGAGGATACTTGTAAAATAAGCTTGTTGAAAACATGGTCAAATGTTGTCTATCCACCACAGTTAAATTCTCTTTTATGGCACGTTTCTCTGTCAATATTATTTTTTGCTAAAGGAAAGTTTACAAATTACCCAGCCTTCTCGCAACTTCCTCCTCCTCCTCTGAAGAATCGAACCTCTGTTCAGACAAACAGCTTCTACTTCTTTTACCATCATTTAAGCATATTCAGCTTTGATTAGTCTGCACAATTTTTTTTTACCTCCAAAGCTTTTGGCTCCTTAGGCATTCAGGAATGTTCTTTAGCAGTTATTTTCAACTTGTGCAAGCCTTTTCAGCTGTGTCTACCTGGAATTCTAACTATGGGGGTTTGTTTTTTTTAGGAAAATGGAAAAATAACCTGTGCATATCTTCAGTAAAGAATACAAGCAAAATTATTGTCTTTTGTGGTGGTTTGTTTTGTGGGTGTGTTTTTTTGTTTTGTTTGAGGTTTTTTTGATTTCTGGGGTTTTTGTTGTTGCTGTTGTTAAATTTTATCATGTATTGTTGGAGGGGTTAAGTGTTAGAGGGGATAAATGTGCTTGTTTCTTCTCTGCCCCTACCCCGCTTTGTTTAAGAAGATCTAAAAGCTACCCACTTGTGGTTGTTTAACCCCAGCCAGCAACTAACCCTGATGCAGCTGCTTGTTCACTCTGCCCCCATCCCATAGATGGAGAAGAGAATTGAAAAAAAGAAGTAAAACTCACGGCTTGAGATAAGAATGGTTTAATAACTAAACAAAAATAAAATATAAGTAACAACAATGATAATTAAATATAACAATAATAATAGTTGTAATGAAAAGGAATATAAGAAAAAAGGATAAATAAAGCCCAAGAAAAGACAAGTGATGCACAATGCAAGTGCTCGCCACCCACCGACCGATGCCCAAGCAGCGATGGGCCCCCCCAGCCAGCTCCCCCAGTTTATACACTGGGCACGATGTTCTATGGTACAGAATATCCCTTTGGCTCGTTCGGGTCAGCTGTCCTGGCCACGCTCCCCCCCAGCTTCTTGTGCACCTCCTCGCTGGCAGAGCACGGGAAACTGAAAAGTCCTCGCCTTAGGATAAGCCCTGCTTAGCAACAACTGAAACACCAGTGTGCTGTTGGCGTTGTTCTCACACTAAATCCAAAACACAGCGTTGTACCAGGTAAAAGGAAGAAACGGAACTCCATCCCAGGCGAAACTAAGACACCAATATTAAAGGATTTGTTCCTTCTGCTGTTGAAAGGCAATAGAGACATTTCTTTCTGCAGGCAGGAGAGTTCTATGAAAAAGGCTTTAATTTAAAATACAAATGAAGATTGGTTTCTGCTTAAGTAATTTCTTGCAAATAAAATCCCTAACTGCTGATGTATATGAGGTTTCTTCTCCCCCTGCACCACCTTTCTCAATTTAGAAATCATTCTTATGAATGACTTGTGTTGTTTTATACCTTATTTGAAGTTTTGCATCGACACCAAATTTCAGTATTGTTTCTGTGTTGGCTAGGTTTAAGTGTCTCGACTCTATCAAGTGTCCTCCTTGTACCCCTTTTGCAGGCTTTGCTCCTCTTGCCTTCAGCTTTCACTGTGAATACTGTGGTTAGTGAGTGTAATGAGCTGTCTAGTTGCATGCAAGGTTGTGGTTGAGCGGCAATACCATTTTCTATAGCTTCTGCCTCTTAGGCTAGCCCTTTTTTCCCCCTTGCCCAAGGTCCATCCTCAGGTTTTGTGAGAAGGCAAAGCCTCCTTAAAACTCAGAGCTTTGATTTGTGAATCAAAACCCTGTATCCTCAAGCCGTGGTCTGAAGGGAGGAGTTTAGGCTTCAGTCACTCTATCTGCGTTGCAGCTGAGAAGCGTAGTACTGTCCTTAAGAAGAGGCTTATTGGAGCCCCTTGGGTTGTTACTAGCATTTGTGCAGCCTTGTCAGGTAACCCCTCCGGCTGGAAACTAATGCATTTCTTTGATCAGTTTAGTTTTTACTTGAATCACTTTCTTGGTCTTGTCATCACGTGGGGCCCAAGTGAGGCTACTGGCACAAAGCAATAAGGTGAGAACAAGAAGACGGTAGAACTAGTTCTTTGGACAGTAGTATGAATTTATAAGCAGTTAACTGTGGCCTTGATCATACAGCTGACTTAGGAGACTGCTAGGTACAAAGATTTTCACTTCAAGCCTTAAATCATGTGGATCTTTGCTGATAAATTTTTGCAGTTGTTGCAGTATTAAATCCATGTTTGAATGCCATAGAGATCTAAGACAGAACTTCAGAATTGATCAAGAAGTATTAAATCCATGTTTGAATGCCATAGAGAGACAAATGAGACTGAGAAACTGTCAGACAAGGAATTGATGGTAAAACTTTGAAAGTCAATATGACATTTTATGTTGCAGCTTCCTTGTAAGTTTGACTTAAGAGTATGTAGTCATTGCATCATTTTGGGATTCTATCTACTGGTATCCATTTTAGAATCAAATGAATGTTGAGGTTTATATATAAATAAAGTAATTTCTAAGACTAGTGGCTAGTGAAGATAGCAAATGGTACTCTGTGCTGCCTTACAGCCTCAGAAAGCAAACCACATCATTAGAGTTCTTAAAAACGAAAGAAATCCCAACAAATTCTTAACAATTAACTTTGGTATTTTATAGCTGACAATTCTGAGTGATTCATGCATAAGCGAATTTTTCTATTTAAATAATGAAATATACTTAAAAATCAGCGCAAGAAGTGCTTCATCTTTAGCATTGCTTAATTGCAAAGCTGCGTGGTGGAAAATGCAAATTAAATATTCTATGTAACTGAGATTTCCTCAGCAGTTGGATACAAGGCAAATTTAGTACATGATAAACTACTGAAAAATTGGAATAAAGAAAGATTTTTTGCAGTAAGGCTAAGGACCATCAGCTCTGAAGAACCAGAATCTTAGCTTCTTTCTCTGCCTTAGCTCCTCTGTTAAAGAGAGAAAAAAATATCCCCCTTGTGTATCCCCACTTAATCTTCTGTGGTGATTGAATTCGCAAGTTCCCCAGCCTGCTTGATTTCGCACTCTTCTTGTGCTGTTACAACTCCAAAGAGAGTTAGCCAAGAAGCATTCATCAAAAAATCCTTCAAGAAAGAGCAGATCCATGAAGATGGGAGAGAGGTGGCTGGGCTTCTGGTGTTGCCTGTATCCATGTGCTAGGAAGGGAGAGGGAAGAGAAATACCAAAATACTTTTGTTTGAGGAGAAGAATCTGTGCAGTGAATATTCAGTGTAGCAGAGAGGTGAGAAGAAACAGTGCTGTATGCCTGGCTGCAGAGAAGAGTAAACTTGGAAACAAAGTCACTGTGCATTGTGGCTTTGCAAGAGCTTATGAAGGCCTGGCTGAGTTGAATGGGGGAGTCTATGCTCCTCACAGCTCTTTCCTTTAAATGCCTGTATGTTTAGGCTGATGCTGTCATGGTGCATTATAATCAGTCCAGCTTCTTAAACTTCTTTGCGCTGGTAGAAAAAAGTATCTTAGTGCCAAATAAGCAAGGAAAGCTGTTTTTTAAGCTTTAAAAAAAAACCTTACATATATCCTAGACTTAAAAGCATTTTTTATCTCTTCAGTGAGATCATATGGGACACTTCAAAGAAACTAAAATACTGCTGGAACATCAGTTTTAGAAAGAAGTAAAGATAAATAAGTTGGGTGTTTTTAGGCTAATTATTAAAGGAATATCTGACAGGTGGCTAGTAATACCCACAACCTAGCAGCTTAAAAACCCAACTTGAAGTATGCTCCTTTATAATTAAAGAACAGAAACTTCCAAAAATTCAGAATCTTGATAAAAAATTGGAAGGTATGTGGTATCTTTTGATGTGGTTAATAGAGGTCTTAAGTGACTGTGTGGTGCAGGCTTGTAAATCAGAAAATAAATATACATTACTGTTTGTTTAGTTTCAGATAGGAGTTGTCTGGATTAAAATGTAGTTGTGTTCTTAAAACCAAATATCTGAGGTTTATGGTTGGGGTGATCCCCAGCTCCCCAGTATCTAAAGAGACCATTTAATCTTCGTGCAGTAGCAGAAAATGAGGTTCGTCTGCTCCCTCCCCGGCAGATGTTTAGTCTTAAAATTCTCCACTGAATGTGATTCAGCAGCTCCCTGGGTGTTTAATTTGCCTGTTGGAAGTTTTTGACTGTACATCCTGCATCATCTGTATTTCCAGAATAAATAAGTGTCTTTTATTTTTCCCAAAGTAAGCACCCTAAACTAATGTTTTGATACCTCTTTGTAAAAATACCTTGCATGCTTGCAATGACCTCTAAGGTATCCACAAAGATCTCTCCAGCAATTTCGTTTTCTGTTTCATCTCATTGACTTTGTACGCATCTCTGGATCATCTTGCCAGTATTGAAGCTGTCTTACCGTTGCAACTCGTTTCAGTGTCATGTACAGACCCCATGAAAATGTATTGTAGTCCTCTATTGTTTGTGGTAAGGATTATTAGAACAGAACTGTACTTGGGATATATTTCAAGAGGACACTTAAAGCTTTTCCAGGACACCTTTCTGTGAAGTGTTTAAAAAAAAAAAAAAAAAAAAAAATCAGAGCTTACACTTGCTTCTTCTCTTCTATATGTGGAGGAGTTGTGTTGATGGTTTTTCTGTCAGTTGCCTGTTACCTTTTTACCTGATGCTTATACAGTACTAACTTGTATTTAAATTGCCAGATTTAGTTGTTATTTTCATAAATAGCTTTGAAACTGTAGTAATTATTATTTTCCTAAAGAAAGATAGATCTTATTCTTGTTATTTTGTTTTTATTCAGGCATACTGACTGGGGCTAGTTTAGTCTGTATGTTTTTGTTTGTGCTCTTGTTTTTTTTTCTAACCGGAAGGAATTGTGTTTGTGCATCATTTATAGACCCACTTATACTGGTAAACAAGCAGTAGCTCAAATTCTTAAATTTTAGTAAGTGGCTGTGAATGACTTTTTTTTTCTTGTTCTCCTGTGCTTTCTTGAGGGAAGAGCTCAAATAATTTTAGAAGTTACTAAATAATAAACTTAAATGATACTGCAAATTTACTGTTGCATATTAGGGAGTTTATTAGTACATACATATTTTGCCTAGTACGTGTGTATTAACTGTTAGCAAACGGAAAGTAGTGTTGCTGGTCAATATGTTCTTCAGAGCTGTAAAACTTACAGGTGTTGCCTTGAACCTGTTTTTGTCCATGAATACGTGGAAGAAGAAAACCAGTTTTTGTGCTATTTCAGTTTGTAATTGATTTCTCAATTTCATGTGGCCCAGTTGTTTAACTGTAGTATTTTAAATACATTGACTTGAAGCAGTAAAACAGGCTACCATCAGGGAGTAGTTTAACACTGTAGTGTACTTTGTTTTGGGGAGGAAGTGAAGGACCTGGCTGGGTTAGTGCATTGTCTTACTTGAAAATGGGATATTAGGCATGTTATCAATGCTATAGTTTTAGTCAGTTAAGGTTAATTTAATTTATAGATAACCCAAGACTTAACTTAGCTTTGTAATTAAAATTCTAAATAGTTGGTTTTTTTCCTTGAAGTTACATATTCTTAGAGATGGTTTGTTTTGGTTTTTTTTTTGATTTCCTTGATTTTGATAACAAGTAGATTTTTCCATTTTTTATTGGTGGGTGTTTATGGTATATTAATTAAGTCAAAATACTGGCTGTGTTTTACTCTGTTCTAGGTGATTTGCAAGTCAGATGCTCCTACAGGGGATGTTCTGCTTGATGAAGCTCTGAAACACATAAAAGAGACCCAGCCTCCTGAAACAGTACAAAATTGGATTGAACTGCTTAGTGGTAAGCCTTGGACATAATTTATTTGAGGTTTTTTTTCCTCAATAAAGCTAATTATCCGGCATCACTAGAGATTATACTGTAAGGGTTTTGGTGAGAAAGTATGCAAAAAAGTTAATTAGTCTGTCCTCTAGGGTAGTCTCTTGTTGATTGTAGCCTTTAATCAAGTATAAGTAACTGTTGCTTTTGACTTAACTTGGTACAGAAAAGATCTATATGGAAGTGTCAGAGGACATCTCAACTCTGTGGAAGAGGTGCCTTCCACTGACTCTGAAGTAAATCAGGACTGCACCCTCGAGACACAGCTCCCTTTCCCTGTGATTGAAAATGAGGGTTAGTGGAAGTTTGGAGTATAGGTGTATGGATTGAATATTCAGATCTTTTGGTAAAGAAAGGAGATAAGGAGCTCGCTGCTCAGATGTAAAAATTGAGGATGATTTGGCCATTAATCGTAAAGAAACAATAGTCAGGAGTCTTTTTTTCTCTTAACTGGAGAAATGTAATAAATATTTTCAAGTGTTAGATAATTCTTGTTCAAAACAAAGTCTTCAAGATGAGTGCTGCGCACACAGCTCTTCCTCTAAAACTAGTAAGTTGTTGCAAAAAAAAATGAAATTAGATTTCGTCTTTACAATTGCAGTTAACGGTTTTCATATACCTTGCTAACAGTTGTATCCTCAGGATGCATAAATCAAACTGAATTAACAATGACCATCTTTTAACACCTAGTGCTTTTGTTGTTTTCTTGTTTGTTTTCTTGTTTGGTTTTTTTACCGAGTGCCAGAATTCATCACCAGGGTTTGTGTGCTTTTACAAAACACATGAAACGCAGCTTCCTTGAAGTAGATCAGGGCTGTACTTCAGTTGCTCAAACAGTGCAGGGAGGGGAAAAAAAACCGAGTGTTTTGTCAACAACATGACTCAGGGAGGTAGAGGGTAATGAGCCTTGAAGCTGTCTCTCTAAATCTGTTACTTGTAAGTAACAGACTGATAAGTAAGAGTTTCAAAAAAGAGCAAAATCTCTCCACGTTTCTCTGCCTTGTTTTCATTATGTTCTTCCCATTCGTCCTGTACCATCTTAAACAGCCTTACTTGCACATCAGTCATACTGTCCTTGCCATCCCTCCCCTCTTGCTCCCTGACTGTCAGGCAGAGGAGGGGAGAAAGGAAAACAAAGCAGTCCTTGTCAGTAGGGGGCATGGCTGCTGTGTAACCTTGAAGTTCGTTCTTGCACAGCTTTCCTTCACTCTTACAGCCTGCAAAAACAATTCATTTTTCTTGTCCCAAATACATAATTTGTGCTGACATTTCACCTTCTCTCCAGTGCAGAGCACATCAAGTTAGTACTGATTCAAAAAAGGTCAACTAATGAATGAACAATGTTGTAGGTTTTATTGGAGCTAAGCTAAGGTTTTCCTGAGCTTTGGCTCTGGGAAGATAGTTATCATCAGTGCTGTGGCTAAGACTTGGATCAATCATTTTTACTTATATATGGTTATTAGTTACTAGTTCTTGGATGGTTTTAGGGTTCTTTGCATTTCCCATGGTTTAGAGGACTGCCCTTTGAAGGAAAATATTTTGGTGTTTTGTTTGGGGTGTTCTGGTTTTTATAAACTCTGTTAGAATTTGGCTTTAGGGCCCTATGCTGGAAAATAGCTACTCTATATGTAATTATCAGCGGTGTGAAGAATATTGCTTGAAGTTACAGTACATATGAGTTCAAAGCCATAGTAGAAATACTTACATGGACGTGTAAGGTGATGTTGTTTATAAGATAGCCTCTAAGGGAAGC